AGGAGTTGAAGGAGACTGGATTTTGTTGGCCCAGGACAGGGTCCGGTGGAGGGCTTTGGTTAATTCGGTGATGAACCTTCGGGTTCCGTAAGCCATCTGGTTGGTTGGGTCCATTATTTGGGAAGCCTGAGGGGAAGAGACCGCTGGGGAGACCTAGACGTAGATGGGAGGATAATCTCAGGCGGTACCTATGGGAGATAGGAGTTGAAGGATACTGGATTTTGTTGGCCCAGGACGGGGTCCGGTGGAGGGCTTTGGTTAATTCTGTGATGAACCTTCGGGTTCGATAAGCCATCTGGTTGGTTAGTTACCTTTGATAGTCCCTTGTTTTCACCACTGATGTATACAATCGTATGTGTTGTGGCGTTAAGACCACTTTTTTAATTTTAGGGTACTAAATAATTAACCTTTCTAATATTGTTTATTTATGTTTTTATTGTATTTTTATATAACAACACAGCGAAGATAAATATGTAGTTTATTCTAATAATGTATCATGTAACACTGTCTTGGAACGTTTTTTTTAAAATCCGTAATCTTTGATTTTATGGCAGACATTTTATAATCATTATTTAACTCACACCCAGTTTTTTGAATGCAATAATTGCTGTCTTTTGTTGGAAGTAAATCGAAATAAGTGACGAGGCTTTAAAATAATATTATTTCTTGATTAAAATTCTACGTATATTTTATTCAGGTTTCGTATTGCATCGTATAGATTTACACAGTGAACACAACTGATCTGAGAAGTTTCAAATATTTATTCAGCAAAAACTAACCGGAATGCAGAAATGAAACTTACACCACTGGAAGCAGAACTTCAGAAAGTGTTTCACTGCTCTATTCTCGTTCCGTCCGTGGCTTTGCACACATCAAAGCGACACTTCATTTCTTGCCAGACACTTTCCAGAAACACACTAGGAACTTTACTCATTCCATCCCTTAAATTTAACAACGTTGCTCTCAGTGGCGGAATAACTTGGTCCTTCGTAGAGCCCCAAAAGATGTCGTGTATTCGAACTCCAACATATAAAACGTTTTCTTGGACTGAGTCGCCATTTTACAGACGTCAGCAGTTGCGCTCCTAGTGGTTACCTCTGGAGTTACGTAAATTCTTTCGTATACTGCAAATATAAAAAAGAAGAACAAATATGTTGTCCCTCCAGTAATGTAAGTTTAATTTCTGTGTGATATTTAGATTTTGTTAAATATTTTGAAACCGCTCGGAATGTTTGTATTTACCCTCTATATTTGGAGAACCTTGAAATCCGATTCATCATTTACTGTAAGTCGTATATTATTCCCAGAACCATCCAGTTATCAAATATTCGTCCTGAAGATGGCAATTGAATTGTTGGCCGAAACGTTGGATGAGTTGTAACGTGACCTGGACAACATGTATTTGTAACATCTTTCGTTATCTCAAATTAAGACACCACATTTCACACCTGTTTGCATATGCCAATAAGAACTACTCGTTGAGCTCATAGTTACTTGTCTTCAAAATAAAATTCCCACATTGTCTTTGCAGGTATTGGGCGGTGACAAACATTGACTACATTCACCAGCGGACTGCCCGCCGAATCGGTCTGATGATCCTCGTGGTATGGTCTGTTGCATTCTTCGTCTGCATAGCGCCTCTGCTGGGCTGGAAAGACCCGGAGTGGGGGACGAGGGTGTCGGAAGATCGAAAGTGTCTTGTGAGTCAAGACGTCGGCTACCAGATCTTCGCCACAGCTTCGTCGTTTTATCTGCCTCTTCTCGTGATTCTATTCTTGTATTGGCGCATCTTCCAGACGGCAAGGAAGAGGATCAGGAGGCGAGTCACGGCGACGGCGGGATCAGCCGTGGGGGGCGCTGGCGGCGTGAGGAACCCTGCCTCCGGGGGCGTCATTGCGGGGGCAGCAGGTAAGGCAACTCGCGTCATCTATGCATCCTGTGTAGAGTCACGTGAAAAACACGAAGTTCATAAGCCATATACAGAATTGTTTTCCTTTTCTGTACCATCGGGGTCGGAGCCGACCCCTGGTGACATTATGAACAAGTTCCCTCTGATAGGGAGCTGTTCATATGTTTCCTAGGCAGATGATCCAGAAGTGGTTTCCGTGATACTTGGACCACGGCCTTGTCCAACACAAGTTATAAATTCGGGCACCGCCGGGAATCGAACCCGGGACCCCAGGATTACAAGCCCAGCGTTCTGACCGTGTCGGTTTACAAAACTGTACCTCTACGTTATTTTATTTGAGTATGAGGCTTTGTCTTTCGTCCTGAGGAAGGTACGTAGATTTAACGTAGTTATGAGCAAACTATGAAGGGAATTATTTCGACCTAAACGACAGGAATAAACAAGGATAGAAACAATTATTTAACGATGAAACTAGTAATTTTTGATCTCCACCCTAACACAGTTGGATTCATGAAATCGAGAATGTTTCAATCATAACGGAGCCGGAAGATGATTTTCGCCTGAAACCCTGGCGGGAAAAGTCTGTTTGTCAGACAAAGGAGTAGAGAGGAAGATAATATTAAAATGGATAATACTGGAATTTTTTTTCGAGGATGTGGGCAGGATTCAACAACTACAGGATAGAATCCAGTGATGGGAAATTATGAAGACTGTAAAGTACATTGAATTTCCAGTAAAGTGGAAAAATGTTTTACATCTGAGCGACTAACAATTTCTGAGTATTGTTAATTCATGTTAATTTTTAATTTAGAATAAAGTTTGTATTTTTATTGTTATCCTCTGGACACTTAGCGGGAATTATAAGGTGAGCATTTTAAAGTCTAATAAATGTTCTGTACTGAAGAAAATGTACAGTGTTACGTGGTGCTTGATTCTTACCAGAGCAAAAGTCTTATAAGAGGTAGAAGGAATTTATGACGTAAAACATTTACTTTTATTCTCTACAGGAACGCAGGAACCAGCGAAACGTTTGTAAAAGAAAATTGAAATACCAAAGGTGACAAAACGGAGTAGACTTCATATTATGCATTACAAAACTTCATTTTCCTCCTATTCTGATTTGACTTTTCTTGTAATCCCTTTAGATTTACACTGTATATTGTAATGTTGAAACATATTAATTTTAAATTCACCAGGGAATTACTGAATAAGGCTTATCAAAAATTAATATGTTAAATTTTCCATCGTGGGAAATATTTTAAGCGTAAGATTATAACCTGTTTCAGAAGTTTGAATTTGTCCCTTTTTGCTGATTCAAATTCTGATTGTTCGTAATATAAGTGCGTAAACACTTTGTTTAGACTCTTGAACTTCGCGATATTACACATAGCAACTGCTGGATTATTCGAACAACGTAACAATAGTTGTACCGCCTCCCATAGAATTAGCACAATTTTAGTGATGTTTCAATATTTGGCAACAAAATGTGTGCTCATTTATGACGATGCCCGAGTATCAGACACCCCCCCCCCTTCCCGACCTAACTACTGAATTTGTTACGTTTCTATCATTGCTGTCAAAGGCCATACTAATATTGCTAACTTTCAGTTTTCTGTCATCAGTAATAAATCGTGGTAGCAATATTTCTGTTGGGAGCAACATATGTGCCACTTAATTTATGATTATGAAATTTAGTAGACATATGAATCAATATCTTAATGAGGAAAGCAAGAAAGTCATGTAGAGCTTTCCGCATGAGGTGGTAAGCAATGAATCACTGTAACTATAAAAGTGAAATAAGTCATCTTTTTTTAGATCGTAAGCTACTTAAGGACCGCAACGGTGGTCTAACGGTTAGAACGCTGGCCTTGTAATCCTGGGGTCTCGGGTTCGATTCCCGGCGGTGCCCGAATTTATAAC